TAATACCTTGAAAAGTAAATGAATTGGCGCTCTTTGAATGTTATTCATGTACTCTTTTAGCGGTATATGAATCTGCCGATAGTAGTATTTTATTATCAAGAAATTACTCAGTTCGTCATCTCTTAATCTTTCACAAGCTAGATATAGAATACGAAGAGTAAGGAAATGGATCTATGTTGCATATGTTAATTATTTATCACCTACGCATCTATATTAATACAATCCGAAATTAATGGAATGTCTATTGATTAAAGCGTGGTAGTTTATTCTAGCGTTACGCTCTAAAAGTGTTGATGAATTTCCATACCTGTAAATCATTTATATCTTACGTAATAATAACAGGAAAAGATTTAATCAGAAATTAATGGAATTTCTATTATTAAAGGCTAACTATTGAATCTCAAGGGGTACTAGGGGTATAAAATTGTTGGCGAATATCTACGTCAGTAAATCATTTATATTTTACGTAATGATAGTTAGAAAAAATACATAGCTAATATATCATTTATCAATGACGTAGTCCAAGGTAGAAATGTCAATAAAATCCAAATCCAATGTCTGCCCTATTCTAATATTATTTCCTTTACATGTTACATATTTTGTTATCATGCAACAATGAATAATTGACGTCGAATGGGCAGCATCGGCCATCCAATTTAAAAATAGCAAAGTGGTAATACTATGCAATAGAAGAATAACAATTTTATTTTTGTGTAGACTAGTCTAGAGTAAATTGTAAACTCGTCAACATTGATCAATAATTGAATTTCTGTATCTCATCAAGAGGACAATAAAATTGATCTACTTGTTAGTAGCCTAGAGGATATTTTTCATTTAAAAATGAGCCTTGTTGAAATTAGTAGTGGATTACAGGAATAACAGTTGTAAAGAGATCTTAGAAGGATAAATATATTTTCTTTTTGACTCTTGTAATTATCTCATTTTATTGATGTTGTTATTAAAACATATCAAGTTCGACACTAGTAAGCAATATGATTTTTATTAATAAAAAATTATCTTAAATTAATCTGTATCGTAGTATTTACCTATCGGAAAGATCTTCCGATAGGTAGTTTACTATTTCAAAATAGGTGTATAAGTCTATCTTTACAATTGGCCCATTTGGTACGCGTATAAATATAAATGTTGAAAGGGTATCCATTGCTTGGAGCTCTATTCGTATAGAATTACGATTCATCCTGATTTATGTAGCGGAAATAGAAAGCAGGATATCCAAAAATTCACTAATAATTTACTATGACATTGTTTATCAGCTTACTATTCAAATCCTATTACACTATTATCGATCATGAATCTATTATCGTGTCTTTGAATCGATCATGGCAGAGCTATTAGAGATTGAGGAAGGTGGAGGGAAAAAAATATTGTCTACTCGTCAAGTGAAGATGATTATTGTTAGAAATTACTTTCTACTATACCATAAGAATAGATTATGCCCTGACGTTTTGTATGTCTATATAGTCTAGGCTTCTTCTAAACTACCTTCATCAATACGATGTAGAAGTTTGGATAATTTAATTACTTGAATGATGTATTTGTGATGTATTTATTCTCGGTTATTTCGATGTCATGCTGTGTTATTGATGCTCTCTAAAGTAAGCTTAGCAGATTGCCTTGGTATCCTTAGCTATGAATCGTGATTAAGATTGAATAAAATACAAGATCGATAGAAAATAAAATGCTTTACTATAACTCTCCAGTCCTTCCCCTCGAGTCAATTAACTTTCATTCATGTATCCAGTAGGAGGAGATAGCGATGTTCAATGATGAAATTATAATAGGATTGGCATGCGATGATTGGCTTGATTGACCAAGAGGAGGTAATCAACATTTTAACGGCTATGGTGACTATTTCAGCATGGATTCTAATTGATTTGTAGCCTACTATTGACCATTTTCAATATTATCTTAATCTATTGCATCGACATCCAATGATGATGATTAGGCTTTCTTGAATAGAAGGGAGAAAAAATGAGGAAGAAAATATTGTAGCATAAGTAAAAGGATGATTAGACGTCATTGAATGGAATATTTTTTATTAATTTAATTTTATTTTCAACTGAACAATATCTATTCACGTCATTAAAATGATCCAAGATCGCTATGATGTAATTTCCTCATGATCATATTTAATAGGGAGGAGGAAGAAAAAGATGACGATAGGCTATTATTATTGCCAAGGATTATACTTGAACTATGAGCATTCCATTATAGTTGTTCTTAGATTGATATTTTTTCTTCCCTTCAATATACATCATACGATAACTCAACTAGAGGAGATGAATTAGTTGAACAAATCAAGTTAAATAATTGATGTTGTAATTGCCTAGATTATTGTCTATCAAATGGAACGATTGTTGATCTTTCTTTTGATGTTGAGGATTTACTTTAATTTCCATTCTCAACTTATTTAATTCTGATCGACGTCCTCTTGACATCATCTACTCTCTATTGGCTATTTTTCCTTCCTTCTATCCCCTCTTGTATCCATTGTACAACGCCATTAATGCCTATTGAATAGGCTTGCCATTGCTTCATTTCCTTCCTCTCTTCCATAACAAATAAGAGAAGCTAATTGTCTATAATATTTAATTTGCAATCTATTCAACTGTTGCTATAGAATTATCCCTGTATGCATTCTATTATGTTTTATTTGTTGCTAACCTTGTCCATTAAAACAATCACATCGATAGGTTTATATCATTCCATGAATATCCAACTTGCATCATAATAGTTATTATTCAATTAAGAAGACAAAAACATTACGGTATGCCCTAAGAAGAATCTCCTTTTTAAATTCAAACATAGTAGCCAAAGGAATCGTTGCTATTGGTTGAAAAGCATGTTATTTGTGTTGTTGATCGTTGAATAGATGTCTCTAGATCATTTTTTTTTTGCTATTAATGCTTTTCCACGACTATATTTCTACTCTATAGTATACTAGTATTAATAATTAGTTGCAAATTAAGGCCAATTTTATATATACAAAATATCAAGGCAGCACTTCTATTGTAGCATTACTATATCAATCGATGATTGCTTATTCTTTGACAACTGGAGTCTCACACATTATTTTTCTCTCTTGATATATTTTGCAAGTGTTACCTATCCAATTGAAGGAAATTTAGAACTCTTGGTTGGTTGGATACTTGCTATTGACTATTGGATAACATTCTATAAAGATTAATCGCTATTATCGCCGATTAAATAGACAGAAAGAGAGAGAGAGTGAGAAAGAATCAATTGTAATATACTTGACTAACTGGCCATCGTAGTTCAATATATATTCAGCAATAGTATTACCAGCGTAGTCTCTCCAGTAGAATTGGATAGTTTAGTTTTATATTTTACTCCATCTCTTTCTGCCATCATTCTATACACGATCGATCTTTACAATTTTTACTATCCCAATTACAAGGAATCCTTTCTTAATAGTAATACCATTTAGCGTTCATCGTCTGACTGGAATTGAATCAAGAAGACAAAAACTCTTTGAAAGAAACACTATCGAAAATTATTCAGTAAGGAAATAGATTAATGTGCTGCAATTTTTTTTTATATACTTTTTGAAACGCCTCGCGTTAGCAATTAATTTAACCACGTAGTTTATTAATTACCAATAGGATCAACATTGAACAGACTGGCAAGACCTGTTTCTTCAATCACCAATTGGATCTAAAGTTAAAGTTTGTTCAATATTGTGGCAGTCAAGGCAGATATAGCCATCTGTTGGTATGTCTTGATCACCTTGTTATAATTGTTTCATCAGCTGGTAGCTTGTCTTTGTGTATTTTAGTCAGCAATGTTCAAAGTTTAGATTTGATAGGCAATTAGTTGATTTTTGATTTGTCAATTCTACACATCTTCGCCGCCATTTTTATCACATCTCTCTAATTATTCCACCTCCTCACCCTCTCCTAGCCTAATTTGTTTTACTTCCTTTATTTATCATGACGGTAATTGATTTTCTTCCCCCACATAGCCAATCGATATTGAAATAGCTTGGCTATGCCGTACTTTGCCTTGTTTTATTTGTATAATGTTCTGGATATAAACTACCAAAGTAAAATTTTAGTCATCAGTTAGGGAGATATATATAGACTGCTGAGCATTGTTCATCGTCACGTTGGCTGTTCTCGGCTCTTCCATAAGTTATACTTACTATCACCTATTTTTTCCCTTTTCGTTGATTCCATCATTTTCCTTCATTTCTGTCTTCAGTAAAATTTTTATTCCAACTATCATTCTACAAGAAAGAAGTTGACTAGAAAAATTCTCGAAGATCCCTGAAATTGATTTGTCGATGTAATCTCTCCTAGCTGTTATTAAGAGTTAATTCTTACTTTATTTTCATTACGTTGATCATTTCTTTTCACGGAATAGATCAAACAAGTATTGACTTAAAAATTGTTTTGATTGAATCCATTTATTTCTTTTTCATCCTTTTGACAATCTTAATACTATTCTTGGATTAACCGTTGGTATCAACTCTATTGCTAACCGCTTTTTATTTTTTTCCTGCATTCTTCAATTCTTACTATCATTGATTACTACCTTAATAACATTATTAATACCCACCTCATTCTATTGAAACCATTTTTTTGACCATCTTGCCACTGTTTTTGTTATCCCTCTCTCTATTGCCTATCGCCTGCTTTGATTAGAGGATGGATACTATCATAGATGATTACCAAGATGGATGCGATGACATCATCGATACACGAGATCCATTTAAATGTACGATCCAAATTCAATCTGGAATGAATAATTTGAGAGAGATTTTTCACCCTTTATTACAATGGATCGATCCAGTCTTTCAATTTGTCAATCTTAAAAGTGGTTTAGCCAATTTATTTCAAAAAACTAACCAAGCAACAACCTTTGGCTCCAATAATTTCGAACGACGCAATCATTCAACGCATGGTAGCAATCATATTGCAAATCATAAAAATAATGGTCAAACAACGATTGAGACACAAGCATTAAGTTTAGTTTTATTCCTTCACGAGAATAATAATCCACTATCTGCTCATCAAATTCAAGAAAAATTAAAATTACCACCGTGGAAATACCATCATAGTCAGTATTTAGGTGGTCCAAGTCATCAACGTCAGCATCAACAAAGACAAGCATTACAGAAGCAATCCGCTGCTCGGCAAGATTATTACTCCATCACACGCAATTTACCACTTTGGGCTGTATCGTCGATCCATTGCGGCAATGAAGTATTGCGATTTAATATTTTTACGCGTAATCATCAAGCGATGAAAGAATTTTACACTCTTTTATTAGATGATCAACCCACCTTTCATCGTCAACATTTTTGTCTTTTTACTCTGTATAGCCAGCCTGGATTATGCATCCAACTGAGTTTAAAATATGATGCAACTTTATTACCTATTCCTGTTCAATCGGCATTTCTACAATTTCGTGTTCATAATATTAGTGAATTATCCAGTACATTAACCTCATCGCAACTGAATTGCCCTCATGGTAGGACTGGTTGGTGGACAACTTATGATCCAGATGGGAATTTTGTACTTTTACAAGACGATCAAAACGAAGTTAATCTTCATAATACTGAAATTGCTAGTAATCAAAGTAGTACAGATGGCCTAACACGGCCACGCTATCAATCGTCAATATGTAGTTCTGATAGTCATGATAGTGGAGCATGTAGTGGTGAAAACGAAGATGGCTACCAAGAAGATTTCAAGAAAAATTTACCTCCTTCTATAAGCGAAGGGATCATTGTTTAACTTAATAGCCATTGGAATGATAAAGTTGCAATGATACAGTCCATTTTACCCGTCTGGATTTATTTTCGGGTCAACATTCCTTTCCTATGGAGATCATGTCAATTAGACGATGGCATGATTTCATTAAAGGAGTAATTATTATTTTTTTTGTTTTCTACGTAATTGCTTGAACTACCGACTACCGAGTAGAAGCAATTGATGGGAAAGGATCGATTGGATATTTTTTCAATATCGTTTGAAGTCGCTTTCAACAATCTCGATGCACCAACAGGATAATGGTTAATTTATACGTCCAAATCAATTCATTTATAGTCCGTTAAAAATGGCTCTTATTTATGTGCGTATGAATACTGTACTTTTGATTGCTTAATTGTTTCAAGTCTACTATGATCAGCTCTATATCTTAACTTTAAATGATAACTTCCTCACTTTGGCAACATCGAATTTATATATATCTGTAAATATTCGTGTTTCTATCTATCTATCGACATGATACGATTAGATACCGCTATGAATATCGCAATCATGACGATCAACGTAGAAGATACTAGCTAAAAGATGTTTCTTTTTCTTCAACCACTTTTTTTTTTATACTTCTATATCAATATGGTAGTGTAGTTGTTATTCTATACCATTTTAGAGTAGATGAGCATTAAAATACAGTGAAAAATATGAAGTAGGCGTTAGACTAGACATGTTATTTTATTTAATGTCTGTCTATCTTGGCTGAATGTAATCCTTTATAGAAAATACATCATCGTTTAACTAGCCTTGCTATTTTATATCAAAATAGTGGATTGAATTGATCCATTAAAGATGACATTAGTTTTCTAAAATAGTAAAAGATGTCATAACGTGATAATAGACATAAGCCATCATGGCGCATTTTTCCCCTTGTGCTGTTTCTAAAAGGAATAATCAAATATTCGACGACATAATATCGTCGAATCATTTAGATATCGTCTTTTAAAACAATCGTGATAATTGGCTAGCCATTTTTATTGTCTTTCTAACTAATCAACATAGCTGTAATTGGATTATTAAAGAGTCTATTCTACTTTTTTTTTAGCTTTATTTTGAACGTTATTATTGATGATTGTACTAAGTGTAAAGCCATAGCCGTCATCAATCAAAGCGTTTCTATCATTACTTTGAAAGTTGAAAACATTTTTTTCACTGCCATAATTTCGATATAGTAAATGCTAATTAATACTCAACTTTGGCTAATAATATAACTCAATCAAGATTGTATGGTCTATAATAGCATTAGTTAATGATTATTTGATGACAATCGCTTGAAACTGTTTTGTATAAAAAAAAATTGAGGCTCATTTTTTATAAAATCATGTCATGATTGCTATTTGTCTATTACATCAATTTCATTTTTAATTCCATGTATCAAAACATCTGTGGTATTACCTATCTATCTGTCTATCTCGTATCTATCATAATTAAGAAGAAGAATTGAATTAGGTTATAATTATTCATGTACAGCAGTATAATGCCGAGGAAGTATATTAATCTACTAATTAACAAGCAAAATATATCTCTATCGACAAGCATGTCTTCTAAAAATGTCTGTATATAAATCTACTGATCGAGTGATAAATAGAAATCGTTAACTTTATATATCTATATATGGTTTATATGTCTTACTCTATTCAATAATTATTTGATGATAGTAAAAATATAAAATAGCAAAGCATCCTTCATGTAATCTATCAATCTTTTAAGTGCTGATTTAAAAAAAAAAATATTGTTCAATATGTCAGTCATAGCTGCATTAATCCTATTTATTATTATAATCATTTCTCAGTACTCTATGTCTTCGTGATATCATTCTAAATATTCGTCTCGATGTTCTGTAAGTAGACACGTAATGACGATAAACATTTGTCTCACAATAATTTACTTTTTATTTTTAACGACTTCAGTTTTGCCTGCCAATGCATCATCTAATGATATAATGTTAACATTATGTTTTTAAATCTTAACAAATTCAATGTATCTGTATAGACATTCTATTTCAAATAACATTAAAAAGTGACAATTGGTTTTTACAATTTAATGGGTAGCTCTTGCTGTCTAAATTAGTATTTATTCAAGTCTAGAATGGACTATTAAATCTTTATCAAAGCCTGAATGGGTATTAAAAGTGGCTTAGGCTAGTCTGCTATGTTTTCCAACTTTACCGCTTCATAAATAGGCATATAAGTTTAGGAATAAATCCTTGAATTTCACGAGAACTGGGATATTAGTGAATCTAGTTAACTTCAATATCTATTTTTGTAAATTATTGCCGTAATTATTTATTAGTGCATGCCTCTAGGCAAGTTTAGGAATGGAATGACTAAAGTTTATAAGGACTTGGAAAACATCGAAAGTGACTCAATTAAGTTTAATCTATATTTTAAATCTATCGCTTATGATTTCCATCGCTGATACGATTTTAAAGTTTTATAATCCAATGGATTTATCCTCGTTCCATTTTGGAAATTTTATCTAATATTAGCAAAATGCTATTTCGTGTTCATCACAGTAGGTATTGCTGTAGATAACTCCATTTGATTTTGCAATGCCTAGGCGCCAGTGAAAGTCATTTCAATCGACTTTGAGTTCAATGATATCTAGTTTAGTTTCGTCTTTAATTTTTTTTGGGTTTCCGAACAAGGGAATGATAATGTTCAATTTCAACCTGTGTTATTGTTCATCTTGCGTGGACAAACAGTTCACTCAGTCAATACATTCTTAACTAGTTCTAATTAATATCCATGTACAGTACAATCAATAAGTAACCTCATTTTGCAAAATAACATTGCAAATAAACAAATGCGAAAACATCATCATGTAGATTTATCTATCATAGCAGTTAGATAAAATAAAGGAGAACAATTAAAATGATCGATTATGTAGTGATATTTTTTACCGTAAACTGATAACGGTATTGTTGTCTTGAAAAGGGTGATACAATTAAATAATGTTGTTCCGAAGCAAGAGTGATGATTTTTACATGATATTATTTTTCTCTCTTGGCTCTACATGTTACATTGATTTGAAAAAATTATGTTGATAGAAGCGGTAAAACGTCAAAGTAAGGCAAGTGGCGGCATTGGCTTTGATAATTTTTTTACACCTTCAATCTGTCATTCTGCTGATGTACATTATATCGATTGTTTGACTATTATATCTTAACTAAATGGAGCCATATTGGATTGATTCTTTCGATTGAACATTCCATTATTCTAGATAAATGCTTTTACACGATGATAGCATAAAACAACCTTTTTATTTGTTCGTAGAGAAAAAGTTCATCCATTACCTCTCTCTCTCTCTGCATACATAATGATAGCTATGGCTATTATTATGTTGACAGTAACTATATAAAAAGAAAGACAATAGCTTAATTAATTAATGTTGCATTTATTACAAGCAAAAAGCTGTAATTGTACACCCTGTTGTTTAACTTCAACTCCCTTTCCATGCTAATTAGGATTTATAGTTCATGATTACAGTGGACGGTTATGGATGTCGATGAGAAGTAGGAATTAATGGAAGAAGAATCTGCATTTGCTGCCTTCTTGACAGTCGGAATGCACTAATTTTATTCACCATCAATCGATAAGACCATCAAGACCCGTATCATGGATCAAGTTAATAAAATAACCGCAACGTTGCATCTTGCTTCTCATCATCGTGATGATGGTCATGTCTATTCGTTAATTAATAGTACGAGTTTGGAATTCAATTAAAAGCGATAATTAACATGACTTAAATATATTAGGCCTAGATGATAAAGTTAAGAAGGAATCCTTTATGCTGAAATGCAACCACTTGAATAACTATTTTAGAGACAAGTCATTAAATCGATCATGATTATGTTTACTTTAACACCTTACAAGCATAAATTATTTTGCGATGCAGTATCTACACCGCCTTTGATCTTATTCATCTTTCACCTAACGCTTACTAATGTCAATCAACTAGATTGTCATCACTGCACTAGGACGAGTGCGATATTTTCTTTTTATTCCATTCTGTTTTACCGATAGAATGATCCAGTAATTCAAATAACGCCCTCGCATAAAATTTTTGTTAAGCTAAGTGAGAAAATAAAGTTCCGTTCTTGATATACAGTCTGCATCAGCGTGATGGATAGCTTCAACTGATCAAGACAGAATATTGCTATATTGTAGAGGAAAAAATAGTTTAGCACTCTCTATGCAGACATTGAATGAAGATGAACTGTAATTACAAGCTGTGCTATGTGAGAAAAGAGCGTTCCATTCAATGATTGAGATACTGTATGTCGTCTGCATAGACACGATTAATAAATTCAAGACAGTATGTTGATATAGAGGGGAAATAATTTAGCACTCTTCTAGGCAGATATCGGATAATGATGAACTGTAATTAATTATAGGTGATGATGAGAAAGCAACGTTGAGGTATTGAGATACAGTCTACATCAGCGTGACTAATTGATTTAAGACAGAATGTTGCTATAGAGGAGAAAATAGTTTAGCATTCTTCTATGCACACATTCGATACAGATGAACTGTAATTATATAAGGTACACTATGTGGAAAAGACCATTTAGTTATTGAGAAAAACGTGGAGTCTGTATCCGCTCAATTGATAGATTCAAGACGAAATGTTAGTAACTAAGAGAATAAACGAGCACTTATCTTGACACCCATCGAACAAAGACTAACTGTAATAATAAGAAAAGAGTGAGAACAGGCATGAATGGTTAGTTATTTCTACAGTAATCGCATATTTTATAAGGTTAATAAGTAAGAAATTAGCGTGTCATGATTGAGGTGTAGTGCAGATATGATTGATTACTTAATTAGTGGTAGAATAATGATAATTAAGGAAAAGGAGGCAATCATAAGGATGATAGTGATGAGAGAGCAAATAACAGGAGAAAGTTAAGCGATTACTGATTGGCTGCTATGTTTTAAGAAATAATTTTTAGCGAAGGCTATGGATAAGCTTGCAATTATGACTACACGTGGAATGCTAAAGAACAATTCATTAGTTAATTTTAATGGAATAGAGATGAGAATTTACATATAATTTATTCGATCTCTCTCTTTCAATGATGGCAATTAATTAATTAGATCAACAAGACCTATGCTGTTCATGATAATAAATTACAATGACCAATTGAAGTTAGTCAACTCGACAAAGGCTAGTTCTCGACTTGCCAACGCCTAAAAAATGGAAGAAAGATGCGTGTAAACACTGATACGCATCGATAGAGATGTCTATGCTGATAGAGTATGAAATTCCAGCCTAGTAGCCTCGCTTACTGATTTAAAATTGCTCGATAAATTGTGTCTTGATCAAATAAAGTAGAGGAATAAACTGTTTGATTGTTAATATGCATTATGCAAAAATTAAAATATACTGTATATACTGGTACTTTGTTTTCTGCATATTATGGATTATGGAATTGTTTTATAATAAAAGCACAGTATAGGTATTTGATTTCTATACTATGAATGATGCCTAGGCGCGTTCCAATCATATTAAATTTAAAAGAAAGTTTTTGTTGATGATACTATTATATATTAATTATTGAATCAGGGACAACGATCATCGTTGGTTGAATATAAAATTATTGCATAATGTAATATCTTGACTGTAGAATTAAAAGAGTACTGGCCTGAATCATGTCCCAAGAGAAAAATTGATATTTCACCTCGATACTCTGAATTTGTTGAGGCATTTCTTTGCAAACGTTAAAATATGCGTATAATTCATTAGTAAAGGAAATATCACAGAATATCGCAACATGCAGATTTGAAGTAGCAATCTAATACTAGTAATTGCGCTATCTACGTATGCAACTACTAAAACTGATCGCGTAGTCAAACCTAATCCTCGTTACTTGTAATTGATTATTTTATTGTGTATATCTTATTCTGTCAGTTATTTATCTGTATGATTCTCATAATCGCAGTCTGCTACTCGATTTTGTAATATTAATTTATTGTAGTAATGATATTCAGGCCTGTACACCAGTTGCTTCAACAAAGATCAGAGCTACTGTAGTACTTTGTTCACAATATTTTCCAGTTTCACAATATGTACTATGATTTTATTCTACTTCAACTTATTCATTCCAGATAGAGTTGAAACGAGCATATTTAGGTGGAATCTGCAAAGGCCACTTACTATAATATTAATTTATTATAGTATTGATACTTAGACCTGTATACCAGTTGCTCCAACAAAGATCAGAGCTACTGCAGTACTTTGTTTACAGTGCTTTCCAGCTTCATAATATGTTCTACGATATTATTCTACTTCAATTTTGCCATTCCAAATTGAGTTCAAAAGAGCATATTTAGATGGAAGCTACAAAGGCCACTCACTATAATATTAATTTATTGTAGTATAGATACTTGTAATAAAAGTGTCTCACAATAACTGTCTTAGGCAAATGGTATTTTGTAAAAGGTTTTTATTACAAAGTTTTAGGACTAGTAGAGCAATCATTCATTACTACAAGAATCTAGTCTAAAATCGAAAGTATTCCGAGCTCATAGTGAAGTCTCTTCTCCCTGTGAGCTCATCTCTGCAGTTCATTCAATCCATTTATGACAACTTGATTAATCTACAATCAGACATGAGTTATCAAACAAAATACTTTTCTCAAATAGTACATCATTCTACTCAAGATGTCACTACTCTTCTATTAACGTCTAGGCTCTTTCTCCGAAGGGCATCTGAACAACTACAGTGTTTCTAGCTACATCAATCATGTACCATAATTAGTCAACTGGCTACTATTAGTCATCAACAATTTCTAATATAGTAGTTAGCAATCATGTAATATTAGCTTGACTTAATATCTATTCAGAGTAACCTAACGATATCAAATATAGCTATGCTTATAATCAAATATGGGTGCATCACTACAATACTTAGTTAGACCTGGACACTGGTTGCTCCAACAAAGATCACAGCTACTGCACCACTCACTATAATAATTTATTGCAGTACAGTATTGATATACAAACCTGTACACCAGTTGTTCCAATAAAGATCACAGCTACTGCAATGCTCTATTCGCAGTGCCTTTCAGCTTGATATTATGTTCTACGACATTATTTTACTGCAATTGAGTTATTCCAAATCGAGTTCAAACAAGCACATTTAGGTGGAAGTCGCAAAGGCCACTCACTATAATATTAATTTATTGTAGTGCAGTGTTGATACTCAGACCTGTACACCAGTGGCTCTCACAAAGATCACAGCTACTGCAATACTTTATTCACAGTGCCTTTCAGCCTCACGATATGTTCTACGACATTATTTTACTGCAATTGAATTCAAACGAGCAAATCCAGGTAGAAGTCGCAAAGGCCACTCACTATAATAATTTATTGCAGTACAGTATTGATATACAAACCTGTACACCAGTTGTTCCAACAAAGATCACAGCTACTGCAATGCTTTATTCGCAGTGCTTTTCAGCTTGATATTATGTTCTACGACATTATTTTACTGCAATTGAGTTATTCCAAATCGAGTTCAAACGAGCACATCTAGGTGGAAGTCGCAAAGGCCACTCACTATAATATTAATTTATTGTAGTGCAGTGTTGATACTCAGACCTGTACACCAGTTGCTCCAACAAAGATCACAGCTACTGCAATGCTTTATTCACAGTACTTTTCAGCTTGATATTATGTTCTACGACATTATTTTATTGCAATTGAGTTATTCCAAATCGAGTTCAAACGAGCATATCTAGGTGGAAGTCGCAAAGGCCACTCACTATAATATTAATTTATTGTAGTGCAGCGTTGATACTCAGACCTGTATACCAGTGGCTCCCACAAAGATCACAGCAGCTGCAATACTTTATTCACAGTGCCTTTCAGCTTCACAATATGTTCTACGACATTATTTTATTGCAATTGAGTTATTCCAAATGGAGTTCAAACGAGCTAATCCAGGTGGAAGTCGCAAAGGCTACTCACTATAATATTAATTTATTGTAGTGCAGTGTTGATACTCAGACCTGTACACCAGTGGCTCTCACAAAGATCACAGCTACTGCAATACTTAATTCACAGTGCCTTCCAGCTTCACAATATGTTCTACGACATTATTTTACTGCAATTGAATCATTCCAAATGGAGTTCAAACGAGCTAATCCAGGTGGAAGTCGCAAAGGCTACTCACTATAATAATGTTAATTTATTGCAGTGCAATATTGATACTCAAACCTGTACACCGGTTGCTCCAACAAAGACCACAGCTACTGCAATACTTGTTGACAGTGCCTTTCAGCTTGATAATATATTCTACGACATTATTTTACTGCAATTGAGTTATTCCAAATCGAGTGGCAATGAGCAACTCCAGGTCGAGGTAGAAGGACTTAAGTGGATCAAGGTGCTAAGGCCGCTTCGCCACTGTACTGATACTCAAACCTATGAAGTATAATGTTGATATTGCGTCCAAACATACCATACTGTACAATGCATTATAGTGTGGTAATCCATGATAAATAATCATACTATAGGACTAAAAAGACAAGCGATCGATTTGTGTACCGTGAATCGTATCGACTATCGATACTCAAACATGGCCTACGAAAAAGGAATTACACTAAGAGCGAAGTAATTAAAGCCATACTGTGCCGATGGTAGAAATGACGATAGTCATACAGTAGTAAGCTAACTGTCGCTAACAAGCGATGGCGGCAAGCTAAAATCCTAGATGCCGATGGAAGAGTCGCAGCGCAGCAGCATCGAATGATGGACGACTAGCCGCAGGAATCATTTTAAATTTTTACTCATTCCTATCTTCTAGCGCCATGTTGTAGACTGTTGGATCGCTGTCTACTATCGTTTAGCTCTTAAGATTACTTAGCTGATATGAAGATAATGTTATTATCATCAACAGGATTGAAATTGACATTGCCAAGCTAGACTGTCTAGTAGGATTGACGCCATTACCTGTTCTCATTCTTCTCTATCGATTTCTTCATTTTCGCCATTCCACATCAATCTCATACGAGCTTTGTGCAGATAAATGCGATTGGTGGATGGTCAACTAGAGTAGAGAAAGGAATTCTTGTACTTGGAATAACAGGAAACTATACAGTACAGTGTAAAAGAGATAGGAATAGTCTCTCAGTGGTGATCCTAGATACTCATTCTATCTGTGGTGTGTGTGTGTTTGGACTTTGCAATTGAAAACTTGCCTCTATCCGACAATCCATCATGGCTTACGTTATTGCTTTAACAAGCGGTGGAGGAGTTCCTCTCTTTACTCGTACTATTGGCGATTATGAAGCGGTATGTACGTAGAATTGTATTGAACATGTAATATTAGCCGTGTTTATGCGTTATTTCAAAATTATTACCGAATTTGCTAAGCTATTCAACTATCTTAAATCAATGTATCCATTGAGATTGTGATGGAATCAATTTCACATCAATTCATCTTACCGGATCATGAACTAAAAAAACATAGTGGATAGTGAATAAGTTTAGCAATACAGGCGATTGTTCCCGATAGATAGTTTAAATACATATTCCTAAAGGTCTTAAGACTGTTGCCTAGAAAGTCTACGTAGGGGCCTCCATTCTGTGACATCTCACTTTTCACTCAATCATGTAACCGATTAATTTGATCATTCTTGATTGATGTTAGCTCCCTTTTCCAACTGTTGGCTCGTTGAATGGCGTACATATGTTTACAGAAACTCATGGAGCAAAATTACTCAGTACACGAACACAAAATGCAAAGATCGTATGGCAAGTTTTCAATGACAGGTTATATTAAGCGGCTAGCGTTAATTAGTCATTATAATCATTCTAAACTTGTTGAAATAACCAATGATTCGCCTAGGTAATGCTTCAATTTTATCTATCCCCTGACAGCATTACAATAATTATTGTAACGGTCGATGATGGTGCCAGCGATGTTCACTTGAAAACGTTATTACAATTTATTTATAACGCTATGGTAAGTCATTGGTGATGCATCTAATTGAACGGATTTCAACATCAACAATAAACAAGGATGAGCATCAATCATCCAATAGACGATATACGAGTATGAATTATTGATAAACTTGGCTATGAGCTATAGCTATCTCTTACTCTATATAATTGTAAAGATCTGTTCAGTTTTAAAATCCATAATGATCGACTTCTCCTTTCGTAAATTACGTCTTATTGCAAGACTTTACTATAGTAAAGTGTAATTAACCTTGAGTAATCTTAGTTTTGCATTTCTGGTTCATCACCTCCATTGCTACATTGGTCCATTTTTTCTTCGTCAATGCAGCATCCTATATCGATAGCTTACAATCTAGTCAATCAGAGTAGTGATTTTTAATATTGACATTAGCTGTGCATTTTCTAATCCGCCACTATTCCCTATTATTTATGATCTATACAACCATGGATACTCACTCATAGATTCTCTTTTTGGGAGAGAATGAACTTAAATCACTTAGAAATGTCGAACGACTAAAGAAAGAGCTAAAAGTAGGGATATATCGCAATCATGAAATGCAAATGAATGTCTAATTTTGCTATTAATCAAACTAATGTATATTTTAATCGTATTTATAGAGTATTTATTTCCTGATTGATAAACTGCTTGAAGAAAGTCTATTAATCGGTCATATAACTGGCTGCTTGGATACTACTGCTTTTACAGATATTGATGTTCTTCAAGTACATAGTTATTAGATAGTAATGATATCGATAAATGAAAAATTTTAAAATTCACTTAACACTCATTGTGGTTGCATTTCTTCAGTAATTTTAAGCTTTACTCCATGACATTGATGGTATTATCTATCGTTAGGATTGTTTGGAAGCCTTTGTTGGATGGTGTAATACTGAATTTGGATGCGTATTAATCAATGGTAAATTGGCTGCTTCAACGACACGCTGGTAGGTACCTGCGTCTAATTTTATCTTGAATATTTAACTTGAGCTTAATGATATATTTTATTGCATCTGGATAAAGTGCATATGAATATACTGTATGTGTATATCTCCATATTCTGAAAATGTTATTTTTATGAAAAAAATAAGGTATTTATCGTTTGTTGATATATTTCAATAGGTGGAACTTACCGTCTACAGATTCGATCCTATTGTCGCTATTAATTTCCGCTATGGTGCATTCAGCTTCCAAAGATATCGCTATTTATTTACCGGCTACTTTTCCAGATGTACTGTATTATTTAGCGATAATTACATTTTGCGCAGCAGATACTACAATATTGTTATTCAATACATCTAATAATCTTAAATAAAATGGTTGTAGGTACCTCATCGCCTGATGACATTTCAGGTAATGTCTCTAAGCTTTTTGATCAAATTTATCACATTACCTTTATTATTGCTACGACATTAAGGAGACTAATGCTATGTAAATTTCATAGATTCTAGATGGGGTTGAGGTATGCGTCCTTTGTGGATCAACACCGTCACATAATGAAGTCTTACAAAATGTATGTAATAGCATTAAATAGGACAGATCAATAACGTATGGTACTTACTGTTGTCGATGAATATTTGCAGCAAATTTTAGATTCATATTGGAGAAGTTGTATCGATATTTTAAAAAATGATATGCGTAATGCACCAAAAGTTCTTCCACCTTCCATAACTCTCGATTTTGGAATACTTGGGTAGGATTAAGCCCTGAAAATAGCAAGAAAGTCAAATTTTGTAAAATTATTATTTTTTGTTATTAAACCTTGAAACTAATGCTATGGGTGTTATTCAACGATGCTTTCAGATTTATTCTTCTAAACCAAAACAGCCGTAAATGTCTAGCAACCTTTGTCAGAGCTCTCTCTAATTTTACTGGAATAGATGATTCAGCCGCAATCGGTAAGTATAACCTAATACGCTTATTCTCTGCTGGTCATTGAAATGAGCAAAAACATTGAATTATTCTAGAGTAAGATATTTTGATCCCTTTAACTCTTGTTTATTATTTCACTTAGTACCTGGCAATTCAATTACAGCAGAACTACAGTGTAGGAATACTTTGGTCTCTTTTTATAAATCTGTCGTAGATACGTTATTTCCCGTTGTAAATAAATGCTATACAACAGGTTTGGAACTACTTAGTAACATCCTTATGTAATAATCTGTTTTGCGTTATTGAATTAGTTATGGTTGTAGCTTATTTCGGCTTTATTTGTTATATTGTTATTGACTTGTGTATATATCAAACTTTGATGATGCTATCAATAACGACATTATAAAGTACTGAATTGATACCCGTATCATTTTTCATCAAGACATGGACGAAAATATCATTGATGAAGATAATACTCCAGTAGAGACTTATATGTGCTCGGATGAATATAAATTGCATGCTTTACATAAAAAAAATTACCAGTGCTTCATCATGTTTTCTAAAGATGTTCCTGTCTATGCTTTGAGGTACGACAAGTGAGAGGTATATTGAATTGTAGTGTAATGATTTACATATTTAATTTTTGAGTTTTTTTTGTTACAGTCAAATATCTTCAAGGACTTTAGAACAACTATGTCAAGATGGCATCATTTAGAATACTGTTGAATTTGAACTTCTTTAATATCAAAATGAAATGATTAGCTTTTTTAGTTTTTTATTAATTTATGCAACAATATTTCAAATTTTTGAATTAGATTCAATAATGGATATACGTGTATGGAATGAATGATCTTATACAATTTGAATTAATTAGTAAATTTTATTTCATATTCCTTTATAACACTGTCTCTGTCGTATGTTTACTGTAAAATATATGGAATTATCAGATATGAACTTTCATGCAGTAGGAATTACACGTATAGCCGTTCATTAACTAGTTACCTCCATTTCTGAAATTATTTAAAAACTATTTTTGTTGTTTTTTTCATAATGAAGAAATATCACTGTAATCTAAAGATAGTAAAAAATTGCTATTGCATCAATATTGAAGTAGATTAAATTTTATAATTTACTTACTTGTTATCATCTATAATTATATTTGTTAAAGAAGGAATGATAGCTTATTCTAGCTGTTTTGTATTAAAATAGCCCATCATATTCTACCTTAATTTAAACTGGATACTGTAGTAAACGAAAAAGCTTTAAAATCTAATACAATTAAAACTAACTGTAACAATAGTCGAATATTACTATATTTGTAGAAAGTTGTGCATTCGAGATGTCCAAAATAGTAGAAGTACACTGCCATCTTTACCAATTTGCGTAGTTTGTGTTCTTTCTTGCTGTACTGTATTTTATTAAGGCAACTTTTTTATTTTTGGTATTGATATTTTGTCGCGTAAATAAATGTAGTCAATATGTCCAACAGGCAGTAAAATAAACTAGGATTCATTGTTAACACGTTCGTAAAAATATCAATTGCTTATTCCATTATAATGCACAGATCAGTTTTATCTAGCACATGTTATATGGATATACAGTATCTTAAATTTAATACATGGGTAGAAATGAACATGTTAGTGCGAGCAGAAAACATGAATGTAAGAGCTTTATAGACGTAATGGTAACGTCTACTTTAAAAATTAGTGATAAATATCGAGTTTAGACGTACATGTTTGTGAACGGTTCTATTTTTACATTTGAGCATAATGATAATCATAATACAGTATGCGAGTCTTCTTTCATATAAAGAATTTGACACAACGATTCTTATTTACAGTACAGTATATAAAATGTTATGAATAAAAGCAACATATCAGGTGATGGAGTTGGTGTCAATACCAATGCAATACATCTTCGAATTTCATATGATGCAATAGGTCCACGAGCAAGTGCGACTTACTAGCACGGATAGAATGAGGATAGATAAAAAGAGGGTCGTACGTAAAATTTATTTTTGTCGGATGGGGCGAAACTTGATATACGCGTATTTAGCATAGGTTAGTGCGAATAATCAAGTATAAATTAATTTAAACATTTCAGTTGAATGTTTAATCGATTGTTATTAAAACTGTATCATACTACAGTGATAATATAATTAACTTGTTTGAACGTGTGCTTAATTAACGTTTATCTTATAAAATTTATGGCCAATAATTAGACCACGAGGAACAGGTCCATAGGATCTAGAATCATACGTGCCTTCATCGCTTTGTAACCAAACATGTCCAGGAGGTACCTAATTATTTATGATATTGCACAATTCGCTAAGTACTGATATAAGAACTAGCACTGCGTAATTCTACGATTTCTATATAAGTATAGCTAAGTTCTGATATAAGAACTAACACTGTGTAATTCTACGATTTCTATATAAGCATAGCATAACAGCAGTGTAAGGTTTTTTATAAAGGATTCAACAAATTTACGTTGTCCATCATAGTAAATAAGGAGAGGTGCGCGATACAGGATTTAAGTTGTAAATACTAAACTAGGAAATTAAAGTATTCTATAACATCAATTTAATATGATTCATCCATTTTTGCAAGACACGTGCAAAATACCGGTTGGATAATAAAAAATGCAGAAATTACGGTTATACAATGTAGCTTGATAACTTACAAATTTAACTTCAGTTTCAGGTAAATTAGGATCATTAACACGTATGAAATCGCCCTCCTAATACAATAATTTTATACATATTTGTATTATGGTTCTACGATCAGATAGAACGCAAGCGCTTCATTATTAACCAACTGCAGTCTAATACTGATGCATTTTTACTAGTATCTATAGAGGAGTTTAATTATTTCAGAATGATAAAATTCAGTTTAAGGTTTGCTATCACGTGTAAGTGATGGTATACAGAAGCTATGTATTATAACATATTAGTGTAAAAGCTAGATTTTTTCAAAATTCAACTATGAAACGGCTACTATACGCGTATGTATTTTATCTTTTCTTTTCAAATTAGCAAATTCTATCAAGACCTACCAGCCCATATATTTTACTGTCTTCGAACTTGTTTGGATCGGTTACACTTCGTATGACGATAGAATCACCTCTGTTGTGGTAAACAAGCAATAAGTTCATCAGATAATTAGTCATTGAAATAGTCATTGCAAAGTATAATTTTTAAATTCAGAAGAGCATACACTTTACACAATTTTACTTTTTTACTTATAACGAACGATCTACTGTATATTGACGACTGCTGGTTAAAATTATAGGAACAGGTTCTTTTTTAATTTGTATGGTTCAAACAATCGATGTATCAATCATCCATTCCTGATATATCAGTTCTATTGATTGTAAAAAATAAAAATTGATGCTAGGTAGTCGTGATTAGGCCAGATCGCTTAGCAAGGTCGGACAAGGATTAGAACGGATCAGATTGAATAGAAGGTGAATATTCGCACAGTAAGGCTAAAAAGGGAATATGAATGTATGAAATGGTAGCAAGTACGCGTATGAATAGGCGATGCGTATACTGCCGATTTTGTATAGCCAATCTCGTCCGCCATCAGTCTGCCTAGAACACTTTTTCTCAAGTTTACTAATCTACAGTATGAATATTAGCAAGTATGAGCAAGAGATTTGCACACTATACTGTCTATGCAATGTCATTCACTATCAGAATTTGCCTACAACACTTGTTCTCAAGATTACTCATTTGATGGTGGTATAGAACACTTTTTCTATAGCAAGTACGAGCAAGAGATTTGCATACTATACTGTCTATCTTACTTTGATGCTGGTACGTATACGTAGTCTGTACGTTGCATTAATTAATTAAAATATCATTTTTCATTTGTCTATGAATTGATTAATTATTAGATTATCATGACTAACACTTGTAATTGTTGAATTCGTTGTCTAAGTCGATTAACCAATACAAGTGAATGTTTGGTGTTGATCTTTTGTTGATTTTCAGCACGGATACCACGTTGAATACACTAGAGCAGAAAGAAAGAGCAATGATTGTCAAAGTTGTTGATTTGTAGAGACGAAAGGTTGGTTGATTTAGAATGGAATGTCCATTTCCAGTTTAGGCTATTACAAATTGACTGGGATAGAATGTGTTGGGAAGCAATATTGATAAGATGCTGGTTTTTCTAGTACTGTACAATGCTACTGATTAGTCTACAGCAGAAATGGTAGAGAATTCGTCGACACTATTCTACTATGGCGTCCATCTTGTCCTAAAGTAGTATTTATCAATGTCTTTTGACATGGAGTGATTGATGGACGATACAAAATGACTAGCTGGCAACCATGATTGCAATGCTACTCGCTATCATCCTATACTATCTACACTATCTATGCAATCCAAATGTCCATGGTAACACAACTAACCCAGACCGGCCTGAGCAGGAATTCCGAGGTGATGTAGAGACCACAATAACATTGAATCGCCGTCATTGCGACTCGCCGAATAGGTTGTAACATACTTGCCAAGAGTAGGTGAAGATGATAACCGTTTCGAGATGATTCCACAGTCTCATTTAACTAGACATCGTTGCAAAGGAATTGGCCGAGAGAAGACGATACGAGCGTAATAGATTGACTGACGACGCAATGATCAGCCCCACTTTGACTTCAATAATTCAAGTCGAGGACGAAACACCAAGGTAAAATGGATTGACTGACGACGCAATGATCAGCCCCACTTTTGACTTTGATCTAGTTGAGGACGAAATACCGGGGGTAAAATGGATTGACTGACGACGCAATGATCAGCCCCACTTTTGGCTTTAATAATTCAAGTCGAGGACGAAACACCGGGGTAAAATGGATTGACTAACGACGCAATGATCAGCTCCACTTTTGGCTTGAATAATTCAAGTTGAGGACGAAACATCGGGGTAAAATGGATTGACTAACGACGCAATGATCAGCCCCACTTTTGACTTTGATCTAGTTGAGGACGAAACACCGGGGTAAAATGGATTGACTAACGATGCAATGATCAGCTCCACTTTTGGCTTGAATAATTCAAATTGAGGACGAAACACCGGGGTAAAATGGAGAGGACTTTTTGGAGCTACTGTACTGTACAGGGTATTGTACTGTAGGTAGTACAGTATACTGTACTGTACACTACAGTACAGTAAGTATGTACTGTACACTGTACACTGTACCGTACATTAGGGTGAAACAGGCCATTATAAGATCTTGATGGTCTGGTCCGCGCTGATCCGGTCTGCGCCGATCTGTACTGATCCAACCTGGTCTGGTCTGGTCCGGCCGGACCCAGGTCCAGGTCTGTACAATCCATCGAGTTTGGAAAAAAACTTCCAGTGCTAACTTAACTGAATTACACCCAAGTAAAGCTCGTATGGTAGAATCGAATGGAAAGATGGACCTACAGCCTACCCTACAGTAGTCTACAGTGCTGTATGTCCATGGCTGACTCCATCAATGCGCTGTTAACCCGCGGGTTTTGGGGCCAATTACTTTCTTTCACTGGCTGAGTCTAGAGTCTGCCAACGTAGCCTAGTGTACCTCCTGGACTAAGGCTGCCGTCATACAAAGTAGTCAAGCTGGGTGCCATGAACCGGTAACAGCACTCTAGACCTCTTGCAGTACAGTACAGGACTGTAGACTGTACAGTCTACAGTCTTTTCCCCATCGCAGTACAATCTCTACTCCGACTGCGCAGTCGGAGTAGAGTCGGTACTAGGCGGAGGAGTGTGAGTGAGTGTGCGAGTACTGCAGGCTCAAGTTGTGAGAATGGCGTCGGACCAAGCCAATTTTCACAATCTATTAGACAGTGCCAAAGACCTGGTTGAAAACTTAAAAGATCAAGATGAAACGATAACAACGATATCCAAGGAAGTTACTCTACTGGATGCCAACTTACAGTCTTATAATAAGGTAGAGTATACAAACATGCATCCATTGTCCATTGATGATGGAAAAAAAAACAATTCCTCCTTCATCAGTCATGCTCCATCATCGAACGTGCTCCATTAATCTTCATCATGAGACATCCATTCCAACCAAAATCTTTCATTCTTGCCAATCATACAATCCATCATAGCTTATTTACCTCATACAAGACATCCTAGAACTTCATTCATCTAGTGATTGTCAGTCAATACTGTAGTCCAATGGCTTATGGCCTTCAATACACCTTGATGGGACCGGAAATTGCATTCATTGCCATGCCTTTGACCACGGTCCACTTGTATCGCTAGGCTGATTATATCATTGAAAAAATAGTTCCAATAGACAGAATTGCAGGTAAAAATGCATCTGTTTGCACGTCTTTTCAAATCAGTAATCATACATGATCGTACGCCATAATTTCGATCTATTTTTGGGTAGGGGGGAAGAATTACAAATCAGCATCATCATACTGTACAGTACTGTACGCTTATACCAGTATAGTATTACTTGAAATTCAATAAATGACATCAATGATGAAATATCCAATGTCAAAAGAATGGAATGCTAAAGTTGAATGATATCATTATATATACAATAACATCCAGAGAAGGTAGAAGTAATTCAATGCTAAACTTCACTTTTATCACTATGTATTAGCATCGAGAGAATATCCAAGTAATTAATGAAATTGCTAAACGAAGACCACGAGATACAACCATACTGAATAGTCTAAAGGATAGCGAACGATTGAAGGCGTTAGAGCGCGAAAATGCTGAACTTCACGAAGCGTTAATCGATCATCAATTAGCCTTGGAATTAATCATGAGCAAATATCGACAACAGGTAATATCGACATGCCCAATAATGGATATAGTCTTCAATTGAAATTATTGGTAATATTGACAACATTGATACTTTGCTGATTGTACAGTACAACAGATTGATAATACAATCCATCAAGTATGGAAGCGTAGCCATCATAATAAGATAGAATGACATCTTCAATTAATCAATCCATCATTCTTATCGTGTAGATGATGAAATTTGCTGAATTGAAAAATAATTCTGATGTATTGAAACTATTCAACAATGATGAGGTTTGTAATTAAAGTAACGTAAATAATCATCATAATGGAACTCCTAGAACATCATCTTTTACCGAATTGCTGTATTCTTCTACATCGTACTGAACATGCTTTTTAACTACATTAATTGTATATGATTAATAGTGCCACTTGCAATACCAAAATCAGGCGATATATACAGTATGCACATATAGCATTATCCGTACTTTAAAAAATGGACCATTTCACAAAATGCCAGCACTGTAGTTAGCCAAAATAGTTTCTTAACGACATTCGTTGTAATCAATAGTAGCACTTGCAATGCTAAAATCAGAAGATATATACAGTATATGGCATTTATTAGTACTATAAAAATAGAGCTTTTCACATAATGCCAGTACTGTAGTTAACCAAAATAAGTTTTCTCCAGGAGATATATACAGTATATGGCATTTATTAGTACTATAAAAATAGAGCTTTTCACAAAATGCCAGTACTGTAATTAACTAAAATAAGTTCTCTTAACAACATTCATTGTAATCAATAGTAGCACTTGCAATACGAAAATCAGGAGACATGAGTACATACAGTATGTAGCATTTATCACTACTTTACAAATTAAGCTTTTCACAAAATGCCAGTGCTATAATTAACGAAAATAATTATCAATCAAAGATCGCAATGATAAAAATATTAGCCATTGCACAGCATCTATCCAAAGCTAATGGACTGTAATTTTCGCTCTATTATGCATATGTAGGAGATTAAAAGAAAGAGTGAAAAGATTCACGAAATGGCAACTGTGATACAAAAGGCTGCTGCCGTCGATGATGAAGCTGCAAATAGAGAATACGAAACTATTGCTAGATTACGTTATGAGAATGCAAATTTGAAAGAACTATTGAAAATTGCAAACAATTCTTGCTTGAGTACACAGTAAGTTTGAATTCTATAGGCCCTACTACTATACTGTAAAAATTAATCGAATTTATATTAACTGCCATGGCGGTGGAGCTATCTTGAATAGGATACATCTGATATACCAGTAGCTGCGTAAAGTCTCTGATGTACGCATAGGTATACGGTACAGATCCGCACTGTGATTAGCTCAACTTCTTTCTCTTCCAATTTTTTTGAAAAAACCTTCAATCTACGTAATAGTACCCTTTAAAAATAATCTATTCTCAATCGTTCACTAATTAGTACATATATTATCATTTTCCCATAAGTTAATGGATTAATGTAAGCATTGAAATCTTGCTACATGATGTAATCAAATTCACTTTTAATGAGGTTCTAAACCATTTGTTGTATTATAGTCTCATTGATGGCCACTATTAATAGTAAATTCTCTTTCTATCTAAAAAATTGTTCGGTAAAATGATATATAGATCCGCCCATGTTTAATCAAACCACGCTATTTAGAATCTTTATATAATGCCAATGGACTATTAGTTCTTCTCTATCATTTGAAATAATTTCGATTTGGTTAACTTTTGAGTACATTACTCCATTCGGCTTCACCAGACAAAGTCGTAAAAATGGATTGAATGAGCGCCTATTGAATGATTTAATAATATATTGTCGATATTAACAAGTGTGATTAAAGTGTTTTAATATGTATATAAAAGTATCTATAATTATGTACATAAACATACATAGCTATATATATGTATCACTTAGATTCCAATATTATTGAAATTATACATCATGTGCATACAATATATGTACATTGTATGCACATACGAGTTTATATACAGTATATATATATGAATATCTCATTTGAAGTGGATAAAATATCTTTTCCAGCTTTCAATTAATTATCTATCATTGTTTTCAAAATTTCTCTGAAAGAAGCGGACGTCAACCTGAATTTAAACTCATCATAAAGTGTTCTTCAATCTATGATCATTAATATTCTATCCGATTTTTGAATTTAATTTTATAAATCTTCTCTTAACTGTAATTACGTAAAGTATCATATGATTGTAAACATAATTCGAGACACGTTCGATGAAAAGATAAAAAAAATTGACTACAAGATCAATCACGTTAATAAATATCCAATATTGAGATTTTTCGCTGTTTTTTGCCGTTTGGATTACTTTGAATTACATCTAACTAATAATACCCAATTGAGCTAACACGACTGTAAGAAAATTACAGTAGCCCAACTGTGTAAGTAGGGTAATAAATTCTTCTTCTTAAGATTGTCTAAATTTATATGAAAACGAAAGATAGCCTCTCTTCACTATTCGTTTACAATGTATATTTGGGCTATTATTCAAGCTATAAGATGTTGTAGTTGCAAGAGATTAAATACGCTGACCTTATAAATTGGCTCTGCATAATCAACTATTTTTTATTTAGTTATTGTACTCACTCAAATAGTATGCGAGGTAATGCTTAAAATTTATTTCTTCAATAATGCTAGTAATTGTTTCAACAGATAATAAATATATGGACTTGCAAAATATTTCACAAATTTTAAATGGTTAGGTATTCATAAGCCTATATACATCTTATAATGATGAATTTGACGTACATAATTCCATATATTATACATGAATGCGAACGAACCCATGTATTGTATGTATACTGTATACAGTAATCAAAGTCGAAAGGATTCTTTGATAATTGTATGACATTTTATATTTACAGTCTCCTCATGATATGATTAACAATGTTACCGCTGCTATCATTAGCTCCATTAAATAAAGAGCCCTAAAGTAACCATTAAAAAATACTACAAATTTCTCTACGAATCTTTTGGATTTTATAATATGCTAAGCTTGGTAGCTGATAATATCAAATTACAAAATAAAAGTATTTGGGAATCTCTTTTCAGAATAGTTTTATTAATACGCGTATTGACCATACTCAAGGTTTATAGATATCTAATTCTATTTCATCGTAACATAATCCTATACATAGCGTCTAAAACATAATTTCCCCTTCCGCATGGACGCAAATCCGACACTACCATAATAATTTGACAATTTCATCTGCCGGAATTATGTATCGATAACGATTCTGTTCTGGCAATAACGTCGTTGGAAAAAGATCTGCCAATAGAATTTCATTTAATGAATATAATGTTAGTTTGTGACAAATTCTATCTTACTCTAATAGAAGGTTAAATAGCTCTATTACCGGTCTCGAAGAGTGCGATTGTTGGAGAGAAATACTCGCGGTGGTTTGCGAGGTGGCATAGGATCGTCATTTTCACCAATTGGACACAAAATATCGCCGTGAACTAATTTACCATTCTTAAATGAAACAACACTTGAAGGCATTTTAAGAGCCTAGATAAGTAGAAATAGGATCAGATGATTAATAAATAACCAATTTTACTTGATATAGTAGAATTTTACATGCACTATTTTTATTTATTTATAATTTCCATGGTGAGACCTTCTGTTGTCGAGCTAACGATAGCAATAATTCAGTTCCTGTTTCAGCTTCTGCCTGTTTCTTAGTTAGTTGACATTCTGGTCCAATCAGTGCGTTAAATAGAGTTGCAGTTTGTCTATGAAGACGAACTTCTCCAATAGGGATATTTAGCAGCTCGATCAGGGTATCACTATTGAAAAGCGGCTCTAAACTCTTTATTTAACAATAAAATAAAAAATTTCTTTACTATTTCTTTGAAAAGATATCTTATGTTTTGCCAGCGTTAAAGCACTTTTATGCTGTATATGTATACTGTTAGATTGTTGTATATAATTTGATATATCTACATATAGTATTTATATACTGTATAGTATGCATATATTTGCTATACTTTTCGCTTATGCAAAAATAAGTTAATAAACTCTACTAATATATACAAAGGCTAATTTCATTTTTCTTGAAGAGCTTACAAAAAGTGCTCCATGAACGCCAGAGCTGCGAAGGTTGCTTGCGTATTCAGCAATATCATTGGAGCGAAGCCATTCAATGATATGACCATTCGTCCAAACCATGACATCTTCATCTTCTTTCCGGTCCTTTTAATCGAAATTAAATGATAATCGAAAACAAATTGTTACAACCCCTTTTGCTATTTTTGTAAGAAGAATGGGTCAATTTCATAATTTAATAGAATGATAAAATATATCATTGCTACCGTTTTAAGTGGTCTTCGTTTCATATAATTAGGATGGAAGTTGCACTTTCTATAATGTTCGTATTTGAAATTCAATATCTTTTACTCTGATTTTATATTTACATATACCCGTATTCTAAGTACTACGGTACTAACCGTAAACATTGAATACTTCGTTTTATACTAATCTGATGGAATTGGTCGGTAATTTTCATAGCGGATAGATCATCCTAATTATCGATACGAATAGTGATATGCACATCATGCTTAATCGTATATACCACAGTTATATAATATGTAATGATGAAAGATATTAAATATGAGTTACTACCAGAGTTAAATAATTTAAAATTCTTCCGTCCACTTTAGCAGTATTCATAACTTCTTTATACTGTGGTAATCCAATATCATCTAGCCAACCTAATGATATTAAAGCCAATTTTTGCACCATTTTATTTTACTTAGGTAGTAATTATACACTTTAAATGTTAAATACTTACGCATAACCCAGTTATTGTCTAGACGACCAGCAAGATCCGAGGCATCGCTCATTTCGGCCTTGATCAATTCAAGAGGAATTAATCCCATCATTTAAAAAAAATTTTCAAAATACGAGTACAACAGAATGCATATAAATTATATCGCAAGTGAAAAGAGATACCTGGATTGCAAGTTGAAGTTTTCGTTGATGTATTGGATGTTTTATTCCCAATTCCTGGACAGAAGTAATAGCAAAAATAAGCATCTGCAAACTACTTCATTAACTTGTAGAAATCTCAGTCTATTATTTCCATATTACATTTTCCAACTCCATAATTGAGCATTTTAGAAGAACAGATCCTTTTGTAAGATAGCGCTTGCAGTTACGAACATATTTACCAAGACTCTGTTCACAAATCCACGCTACCATTGTATCGTTATCCCAATATGAAAAAGGTTTCTTGTTAACTTTGCTAATGAAAGACAAAAATTAATCGAGTTAGAAATACTAATGACCTTCTTTGCTTTCAAACGACGATGCAATTGTATCATCATTTCAATATGGAAATAATGTCTTAAATTATTTATTAATTGCAAATACGGTATAAGATTAATATAACATCATGATAATTTTAGAGTACTAAGGTAATACACACATGACAGTTAAAAAATTATATATTTTCATGTTGATTATCGTTAGCAGTTAAAGTAATATTAATATTGAATGACTTTCAATTTACCGACACTGCTGCCTCTGATGCCAGGACATACTACGGGGGATAGGATAGTCTGCTTTATTTATAACACTGATTTTCTTATTACCAGGATGAGCAAATGGTAACTGGAGTAAGATATCGTCAGTTACAAGCGAACTACCAGCGCGCACTCTGACAACATGGAGAAATAAATTACATTATGTTTGAATTTAATCTTTATTTACAATTTTGAGAAAATTGTACGATAAAGAAAGATTGCCATACTTTTCAAAGGCTTTTTCCCATAACCTTTTTTTTCTTAAAGTTTGCCCGTTAAAGCGTAAATATAATCGGCTAGGAGTAACAGGAATACCATCTTCAGTAGTGCCAAGTGTGACCTAATTGCATATAAAATCCTTTCTTAATATTCTATGGGTTTGCATTGACGCTATAATTTGATTGATATCAAATTAACTTCAACTTTGAATCATATTTACTTCTGCAAGGTAGCCAGGTATCTGAATCTCTTTTAAGTTAGCACTATCGCTGCTACTTCTGTCATCTTCACGCGAAATATCTAGCAAATGCGGATTAATTTGAAAATATGAGTTTGTCGGATGAGCCTTAATATCCGGATAGAGCTTTGGCATTAATATGCATAGCCTATCCGTTTCACGTTAATATCATTGAGAATTCAATTTTTAGCCTTAACAGATAGAGCTTTATATTAACATGTATAGTGTATAGCTTATCTGTTTCGCGTTAATGTTAAGAATTTAATTTTTTACCTTAACGGATAGAGCTTTTGCATCAGCATGCATAGCCTATCCGTTTCGCGTTACAAAGAATTAAATCTATTATTCTCAAGCGATAGAAGTCGTACATTAACTTGAGTACTAATTATCTGATTGATCTACGTGTTACAGTAGGCTTAAATTTAATTAATTTTTGAGTTATAATGGATAGACCTTGTACGTTAACATGAATACTGACTATGTGATTATTTTTAGTATTATAGTAGATTTAATGTCTGAGCCATAACAGATAGAACTTGTACACTAATATGCATGCAGACTGCCTAGTCATCTAATATTTCAATGCTACAATGAGTTTGATTTTTTAGCCATAGCAAGTAGGGTTTAAGTACTGTACATTACAGTAAGTTAGCATAAATGCTAGTTGGCTAACGAGTTTTAACGTTACCATCTTCAGAGAAGAACTTGGCAGAATTCGTCGAAGCTGGAGAAGGTGATGTTTTCCGAGGAGATCCAGATGTTGGACCTGCAATATAGCGGATATAACTTAATTTTGCCCGTGTTTGAATTATAACTATTTTAAGATCTATAATACAAAAAAGTCATCCTCATAAATGAAAGCCAAAGCACTTACTTTTCACTTCGTCACTATTAACATCTGGCTGAGACCCAGATAGTGTTAATGTAGGTAGTTGAGGTGTTTGTGTGCGGTTTAATGTTGACTCTTTAACCTATAAAAATTCATTTTAAAATATACCAATAGAATTTTATAAGTCTAACATCCAAATTTATTAAATAATCTTATGACTAGCAATCTAAACTTATTGAACCGAGGAGATGAATTTAAGTTAGATAATTTCATATTGTAACTTAATCTACTAGTAGAATAAAGTTGTAAATGTAAATTTATTTCTGAAATAATGCTGATAATTTAAATCATGCTTGAACAGAAAAGATTAACCTGATTTGCATTTGTTAAATTTTCAAGATTTTGTTGTAATCGTTTAATTTTGTTGTCCTTTAATGAAATTAGCATTAAGCAAAATTGGTGTTTGCTCGTCCGGTAAGTGTAAGATTGGGTTAAAGATTTATACTACAATATTTAAATGTTTAACGTATGCTAATTTTAAACCTTTTTAATTGATTCTACTTTTAAGATCAATATTTTTCTTGTAAGCTCCAAAAGATCATGACGAATATCTGTTGATATAGGTAATACTATTTAATAATGATACAACTTGAGTTCTTCAAGAAAAATAACTCTTACCTTGAGCATTCCTACTAGGTTTAAAATCTAAATCAAGTTGATTAATCACATGTGAGATATGTTCTTGTATAAGTTCCGTTAGACTTTTAGTTTGCTTATCATAATCTTCACATAATTTATGACACGACGCAATTTCTTGCATTTTTCTATCTAAGTCGATTTTCAATATCATGATATTTTCCTGTAAGATGAAGGTAGTATTATAGCAAAGTGATATATAAGTATGTATAACCAATGGAATTTATTGCAGTGAGAAAGATGAAATTGATTTAAATACATCGATTTAAGGGTATAACAAGAATAACACAGTAATCTCATAATATATAATTTAAAGTCATCGAATAGTAATATAAAGGATTAATAGGTAGGAATAGAGAGGGTGAGAGCTACCGAAGGCACAAATATTAAAAGTCCTTATGTAATACCCGTATTCAATACCGTTAGTTAAATTTATGATAATAGCACATGAGAGTTTGATTAATTTATACCCAATAATGTTAATAAACAAATCAATAATTTTTTTACCTTTAATTCAACGATTTGATTAGATAACAGTTGATTATTCAAGTTGGTTTCACTATTTGATGGAGGATTTCGAATTTCAAGGTTTTTACCTATCTTATCCTTAGGACTTTTATTTTTCTCGCCTACTTTATTTACCTAAAATTAGCAGTTTGGAATTAATTAATTGTCTTATATTAATAGACTTTTTTTAAATGATTCTAATATTACTCATTACTAAATATTAGCGGTAAATTTATTTCTACATATGGATAACAGAAATATTTTCATGCTGTAGGGTGAAATAACTTTGTGTATATATACATATATACATATTATACATATGGTAAGCAGCTCTATGATGAATATTGTGTATGATTGTATGCATTTGTTGTGCAGAATAGTGAATCAATTTTCATTTAGGGATTTATCTTGGACTCGACGTTTAACCTAGTATATACATATAGACTAGCCTTTAAAAATGCATATTTCATGTCTTAGAGTGAGCTATGTAAATGAAACACATTTGCCATAATAAATAGTTCTTAGTATCTAAGATAGCCTACCATATGCATTCATACTTTATTCTGTGTCTTTATGCTTGCTCGCTTTTAATACATGCACTTGTAGTCTGTGCTTAAGAATAAACTATTTAAGTAAAATGCGCTTGTAATTATAATTACCGTAATGATTCTTAATAAACGTACAAGTATTCATTGCCATACGTTGATACTATTAAATTGGTACATGTAAGTTAGTCTGGTATTAAAATTTGTATCTTTTCTAGTATTTTAGAATGTGTTATTAATTCAAATAGTATTTATGGTTGTTTCTTGGTACTAAAATATTTAGTAATATTCCAAAGCTACTACTTCATAGCACATGTTAGCTAGGCTATTGTATATCCAGACTATGCATGTCCAGACGTATAATATCACTACTAGTCAGTCAGAATAATTAACCTACTGATTAAGATAGTCCTATAGCTGTTTGTATGCTAGGCAGCCTTTATATATTAAGACTAAATATACACATGTACGTTACTTCTATTAATTTATAAATAAATGGACGTCGCCTACTATGGCCCCAACAGAAATTATAAATTCAAAAATTTAACTGTTATAAAGAATTGTTGGTTTATCTTGTTATGACTCTCATTCTTAAAATATTAAAAATTAGTACAACTGTATCGTTGTCTGCATTTTTACTGGTCGGCGTTTAAATAGACAGAGTATGCTTTACCGCCGTTGATCTATCAAAATATGGATATACGAATGTTGACTATCGTAGTTATAGCAGAAACTGTAAACTTTAAATATCAATCGTTCTAAATTTCACTGCTCGTAAATTAATTATTGCTACAGGCATGTAAAAATAGTTCATTCTTATAAAATTCTATTTGGCCTACTTCGTGATGTACAGTATATAAATATCAAGAAACTTATTAACAATGAGACATGCACATAAATATATAGGATAAAAATAGTTATAAAATAATCAATATGCTGGCTAGCATAACTGTATACTGTAGGTAGCATTTAAACATGCCGGCTAATATATGCACATCTACATTACTACTGTTAATCTGCGGAAATATCGATGTACTGAGCACTATACCTGCGATGAAACTTATAAACTAAAATTTCATCGAATAGAAATTACACTAAGCTATGATCAGATATTTGCTTATGTCTTTCATTCTTATCAGGCTGTTTGATATCTTTGTTGTACCTTGCTAATATCTATGATTGGATGCACATTATAGAACTACATTGACATGAAGGATAGGGATAGTTATCATCGGCTTTGCTTTACATTAAAGCTACTTTATATTATGATTTTTGGATCTTTTAACGACATAATTACTGACAAGCAAGCATAAACGACGAAGGCTTACCGTTGTATAAAAGAATAGAATGAATTACAAGGATAAAATAAATTGCCAACTAGTCGTAAGAGTACTCCATCTTTTAAGTTACTTTATATCATAATTTCGTTATTGAACATAAAATAAAATAATGATAAATAGACAAGAATCAGTGGTAGGACTGTCAGGATTGACTAAAAGCTATTCCTCTAACAAGAACCATGACTATTAGTATTATGTAAAGAATGGATATGAATTACCAGGACAACGGAAATTATCAACTGATTATAAAATTAATCCATCTGTCATCGTAGGCTAACGTGAAAGAGTAAACTGCTATTGATTATGGTATTGTAGAAAGCTAGCATTAAATGCAATTTATTGTTGTTATTATTATGGCTAGACGACGTTCTATTTTAACGTCGATGGCAAAAGAAGAAAATAAACAAACTAGACTACTAATTAATATACGTGTTAGCAGGCTTTGTCAAGTTAATCGTATTATAGATTCAAGTATGCTATAATTAAACGTGTTTCTAAATCGCTTTAATTCTATTTCCCGATCTTAGAGGATAATATTGTCAATTTACGCTCTGTTTGAGTAATTTTTTTAGCACATCAAAGATTTCTATTTTCCTCCCTACATAACGGGGGAAGATTTATGAAGCAATATGAATTATCGTTTTTGAATCATTTGCGATCCTATGTATGTCTGTCGTATTTTCAACAACTTACCGTTTTGTGAGTATCTAATCTTAGCCATTCTTTGATAGGTTGAAGTATATCATCCGTTATTTTGGATCGTTGTTTTTGTCTACTATAGACATCAGTTTGTTTAATAACTTGGGATAACGTCGATATTAATGTAGATATCAAGTGTGAATTGGTGTTGTCGGCCAATTGATGAAAGTGATTACTATTATTGTTGAATAGAAGAAACATCCATTTCATTATAAATTGACGATCAATATCGGGAGCGATGAAAAATTCTTGATGTCGTTGTTTTATGGCAGTTTACCGATACTATACAGTGAACCAAACAATCACTTACCTATCAAAATCATCATCATTTTTGGATGCTATTAAGGTAGTATTATCTTCCGGGGTTTGCATGGCACCTGTAGCTTGATTTTCCATCATGACATCGATGTCATAAGGCTTGGTTGTTGATATAGTCGTTGTCGTGCGATGAATTGAATTTCTGATCGAGTCTTTCTATATTTTAATTAATAATCCTTAATAGGTAATGTACAGTAGTGCAATGCCTGTTTGATGTACCGATATCCAAGGATGTTTTCTATCCCACTAATCCGTCATGATAAAAGCTTTGAATCGGTCAAGGAGAAAGTAACTCTGATTACCATGGATAAAGAATGTATTCAAGTTGGTAATTTTGGCGCTATCCACGACTGGAATGATTTGCCAGTCGATTCTTCCCTATAATAAGTGATGCAATCTTGGCAGTAAAATAGTGTTGAAGAAGAAAGAGTAGTAATCAATACTGAGTGGACTATGAAGAAGAATACTGTCGATCAAGGGCACTTTAATAATTTTAATCTATGACAGTGTAGACATGATGATATTGATGTGTTAGACAGGCTTAGAAAGAGGGAGAATGAACGATAATACTGTCTTTAAAGTGCATTGACTATAGGCTTCTTTTACAGATGTTCTATTAATTAATTATTTCAAGTAAGATTGGTGAACAAATAATTAATAGCTATTGTATGGATGTCGTGTACATACAAAACAATAGTAATGTTAAGAGGCAACGTTCTGATTGATATCGACTTGGAGAGGTAAATTTAAGATATTAAAGTAGGATAAACTTTATTGTCATGTAGAATAAAAACAATATAATTAGACGCAGTAATAAATTAATGCTGCTGCATACATTCTATATAAATAACTTGGTATAATAGAGTTGTGTACATAGTGATATTCATCATCATATTCAAGCTTGGTTATAACAGCTTGGTTATAATACAGCTTGGTTATAGCACAGCTTGCTCTAAAAAAGATGATTATTGCCCTTATTATTGTAGTGGATAACCTACAGCCCAGTATGGCAGCATATTGTACGATCATGAGTGGGTTAGTTTGTTCATTGATTACTGTCGACATTGTGTCATCATCCAGCTGGAGGGATGAGTAATGCGAGAACATGCTTCATCTTGATTGAATTAATGAATCATCGATGATGTATTTTGATTTTTATGGGTAGAGGTTTTATCGGTAAGATGGAATCAATCTAAGCAGGGTTGTTTTATAGCATGGAGAGGATTGAAAATGAGTGATATGGATTACGATTGAGTAGTCCATGCTTGATTAAAAGTTTACTCATGGATGATGGCTGGCTTAGCTAGATTGCAAAGTAATCGTTGCATAACCATTACTACAGATGAGATCATCATCATCAACTTTCAGATTGAGAATAATCATTGTTAGCGTAGCAATATTACTTGATGATGATTAGGGTAAGCATAGGCTTCATGGGGTGTAGGCCATTGCCTCACAAGCTTATATGTTTAAGCAGGTTTTCACCATGAAATTGGTGATTTCATTCAGGTCTTTGTAGCGTTATATCGCGTCTCATTCCCTGCCTAAGATTGTAGAGTACACTCATGCTCATGACAAAGATCCACAATGAATTTATGAATGAATTTAGATACTACTATAGCAGTGTCTATACAAGCAAAGAGCATTTCAATTAATGGATATCTTATGTTTGCTTAATTAAAAGAGAGAGGGGAGGAGTTGGCAAAGAAAGAAGCTCGAGTAGACAGAGATACGCTGTCGAGACTCTCTTTGCAATTAGGGTTGCTCTTAAGATCCGCAATGAATTCATGCATGGATTTGGATAATAGCTATAGCAGCAAGTGAAGAACGTCATGTGTAATCTAATGTGTGCTTAAAAGAGAGAGAAGGAAGAAACTTGGGTAGAGAGAGCAGGGGGGGGGGGGGGCACCATATTGGATTTCTTGTTGATCTTGCTTTTTAGGCATTACTCTATACTGTTTAATACCATCGTTTGTAATAGTGTAGTTATTATGAGGTTGATCGCTCACGATTGAATTGACACCCAGGTTTAGTCTATTCTATCCGAAGGAAATGATGACAGTATTAATCCTAGGCGATGTTTGGGTGATTATACTAGCTATACTATGAAACTCATCATTGAGCATGCTCGAGTCTGCTCAATAAGCAGACTGGAATATAATCGATATTATCGGTACCTGAACAAGACTGGAGGAAAACAGCTTTACTATAGCGTAATGCGTGGTGATTTTAGTCGTTAATGAGGTGTTTCAAAAGAGTGTAAGAAGACTGCCAGGGTTGTATAGAAACTCTTTTCATTGATGTGCTACCTACTGTACTTGCCATAGACTCGTCCAAAAATCAACTATTATTTTTAGTAGTCCATGATCCAGGCATGCAAGTGGAAAGACGCAGCAGGAGTGAGGAAAGTGATTGAAAAAGTTGGTCCACTTACTAGTTTACTGTTGAGTTGAATTAGCTGAGTCTATTCCTATGATCGCTTTGGTGTGACTGAAACACTATAGTACGATCGTCATAACGTGACCGAGGATCACGTTCTAGGCTCAGGGGCGTAACCACGTGACCAACGAGGTGGCTGCACCAGAATAATATCGATGCTGGCAGACGAAATGTGCAGCCATGGACTACTACTACATCGGCGAATATGGAGTAGTCCATGGCAAAGTAAGACCGGAGATAAACACCAGTGGATTGCATAAGAATATTTGATGGATCCATTCGATTAGATGGACCTACTCTATTTTGCCATATCCTATCTACTGTGCAATAGAGTGTCATCAAAACATAGAGGTCTGATCAAGAAGCTGTACTATACTCGTGTAGTATGCCATAGAAGGCTGGAGTTTCAATAACAGCCATTCAAGTCATGGAGCACTAATAAAAGTATCCCAGTCTATACTTGCATACTTGCAGAGCAAGTAAAAGAAAAGAGGGATCAATTGGATATAACAGACCGACGTCTAATCCAATTGATCCTATTTGATGAGTATCAACGCTTGTATACGAAATGTGCAGCTGTGGGCTAGTCAATATTGACCGGCGAATGAATTGATTGAGTTTATGGTTCAGCACGGTAAGACCAGAGAGATCAGCAGCAGTGGATTGCATAAGAATATTATCGATAACGACATAAGTTTCGACGTTTATACAGCCAATGTGTGCAGCCATGGACTACTCCATTTACCGGTAAATAGAATAGTCCATGGTGTAGCACAGTAAGAGCGAAGAGATCAACACTAGTGGCTTGTATAACAATATTATCGATGATGACATGAGTTTCGACGCTTGCACAGCCAATGTGTGCAGCTATGGACTACTGCATTTAGCGATAAACAAAGTAGTCCATGGTGTAGTACAGTAAAACCCAAGAGGTAAATAGATCGGCAGCAGTGGATTGCATAAAAATATTGTCGATGATGACATGAGTTTTAACGCTTGTCCAGCTAATGTGTGCAGGCATGGACTACTGCATTCAGCGGTGAATAGAGTAGTCCATGGTGTAGTGTAATCAACACCAGTGGCTTGCATAACAATATTGTCGATGATGACATGAGTTTCGACGCATTTGCAGCCAATGTGTGCAGCCATGGACTACTGCATTCAGCGGTCAATAGAGTAGTCCATGGTGTAATATATTCAACACCAGTGGCTTGCATAAGAATAATGTCGATGCCATGGACTACTGCATTCACCGGTGAATAGAGTAGTCCATGGCGTAGTAGAGTAGAATCAACAGCATTAGCTTACATAAGAATATTTTATTGATGACGCCATCTAAATGTTTCTACAACTTTTACAGCACAGTATGAAATTGGACCGAGAGATGAACTCCAAGCGTTGGACTATGGACATTAGCCGATCCCGTCACGTCGACATGGAGTCCAGATCGCCATGGCCGATTGTACTGAACTGGATCAACCCTAACCCTAACCGATGCTATCCAATGGCATAGACTACGACAAATGGCTACCTAGTTATTTTCCAGTAGTCCATCTCCATGTCGATCCTTCCAGTTAATGACTAAAATGATCTCGAGCAGCGTAAACTAATCGATTTTTGCATTTTCGGCGAGATCGATTTGCCCTTGGCTATTGAATTTTGTACCGTGGCTCTGACTACCAAGTCCAATCTGGGAGCTGATAGTGGCGTCTAGTGTGTTATGGACTGAGCTATACACTAGACTACCAGATAGAGCAAGGTTTATGGCTAGGCTATGGATTTGGAATTTCAGGCCTGGTCTAAATCGACTTATTTTACCTCCAAACCGGCACCTCTAGTCGATCGTGGAAAACCATGGCATGCAGTCTATTGATAGTTAACCTACTTGATCGACTATCCACGCGATAGGCAATCGTATGGAAAAGAGCAATGACTGAAAAAATGGCCTTGCCTCCATCCAACAGCCATACCATCACCACTTCAACATGAGCAAATTGGCTATACTGAGCCTAGAATAACCTCGTAGACGATCCATTTTGACCTCAAAGTCATCAAGGACTGGAAAGGAAACGCCTGATTGCTGCGTTAGCTGCTCGAGTTCAAGCGTGGATCAAGAAAGATTCAACATGGATGCGGTAAGTTGAGCATGATTATAGACAGAAATGAGCCAATTCACTTGTGTAAGGGGATTAATAGGGACCAAAACAGTCTTGATAGCACACTGGTGATGAGTGCAACTTTCCTTGATGATATTCATTCGGATTGTGTGAGCATGTCGTTTTCTTCTTCTTCAAGCGTGCATCAAGAAATATTCAACATGGATGCGGTAAGTTGAGCATGATTATAGACAGAAATGAGCCAATTCACTTGTGTAAGGGGATTAATAGGGACCAAAACAGTCTTGATAGCACACTGGTGATGAGTGCAACTTTCCTTGATGATATTCATTCGGATTGTGTGAGCATGTCGTTTTCTTCTTCTTCAAGCGTGCATCAAGAAATATTCAACATGGATGCGGTAAGTTGAGCATGATTATAGACAGAAATGAGCCAATTCACTTGTGTAAGGGGATTAATAGGGATCAAAACAGTCTTGATAGCACACTGGTGATGAGTGCAACTTTCCTTGATGATATTCATTCGGATTGTGTGAGCATGTCGTTTTCTTCTTCTTCAAGCGTGCATCAAGAAATATTCAACATGGATGCGGTAAGTTGAGCATGATTATAGACAGAAATGAGCCAATTCACTTGTGTAAGGGGATTAATAGGGATCAAAACAGTCTTGATAGCACACTGGTGATGAGTGCAACTTTCCTTGATGATATTCATTCGGATTGTGTGAGCATGTCGTTTTCTTCTTCTTCAAGCGTGCATCAAGAAATATTCAACATGGATGCGGTAAGTTGAGCATGATTATAGACAGAAATGAGCCAATTCACTTGTGCAAAGGGATTAATAGGGACCAAAACAGTCTTGATAGTACACTGGTGATGGTGATAGCACACTGGTGATGAGTGCAACTTTCCTTGATGATATTCATTTGGACTGTGTGAGCATGTCGTTTTCTTCTTCTTCAAGCGTGCATCAAGAAATATTCAACATGGACGCAGTCAGTTGAGCATGATTGAAGACAGAAATGAGCTAATTTACTCGGGCAAGGGGGTTAACAGGGATCAACAGTCTTGATAGTACTCTGGTGATGGTGATAGCACACTGGCAATGAGTACAACTTTGCTTGATGATATTCATTTGGACTGTGTGAGCATGTCGTTTTCTTCTTCTTCAAGCGTGCATCAAGAAATATTCAACATGGACGCGGTAAGTTGTGCATGATTGCAGACAGAAATGATTCACTTGTGCAAGGCGGTTAACAGGGATCAACAGTCTTGATAGCATACTGGTGATGGTGATAGCACACTGGCGATGACTGCAACTTTGCTCGATGATATTATTTTGAACTGCGTTAGTGTGTCGTTTTCTTCTTCAAGCGTAGATCAGGAAATATTCAACAGGGTCATCAAAGTTGTGCGCCCAGTCCGATCATGGCGTTTGGACATGATAGGATTGCAGCTACTATCCTTGCTCA